CCTGGGTGACTCGTAGTTTTAAGCGTCTGGCTTCAGCTCAGGTCATGCTCTCGCAGTTCATGGGTTCTGTGCTAACAGCTCAGAGCCTGGAACCTGCTTCAGATTCTGTGTCTCTGTCTCTCTGCCCCTCCCCCGCTCACACTCTGTGTCTCTCTCAAAAATGAATAAACATTAAAAAAAAATTAAATCTAATCTAAAATTAGATTAAATTACACCAACTTAAAAATAGATTTTCAAAAAAACATTTGTTTTTGAGATAGAGAGAGAGAGAGAGAGCAGGGGAGGGGTAGTGAGAGAGGGGGACAGAGTGTCTGAAGCTGGCGCTTTTGCTGACAGCAGAGAGCCCAATGTGGTTCTCAAACTCCCGAACGGTGAGCCACCCAGGGGCCCCTCCCATGGTTGTAGCCTTTTCCACAGCTCTGCTAAGGAAATTATTGAAGAGGAAAGTTTTTATTTTGAAAGTCCTCTGGTATCATAATCAAAATATTTTTATTCTATTTCCCTAGCAGTAGTGATGATCCTTTTCCATCCCCACTTCTGACAGCAACATCTTTGATGAAAAAAACAAGTTATTAGTGGCTTAGGGCTAAACTCTCCAACAGTGTTACTTTGCAAAGAAAACAGCCGAAAAACCCAGAGTAGAAGTAGTGGTGAGGTTTCTAAATTCAAAGAAGCTTCAAGGTCAGGAAATAGGGAAATTTTACTAGAAGCCTAAACCTAAATACAGTTCAAAAGGAACAATTCCCAAGCCACTGTGGTCCAGTTTTCTTTTCACTGACTCTTTTTTCTTAGTCAACACGTAAACGGACTCTTTTTAACTGAATTATGTGTGTACACTCCTTGTGTGTGTGCTCGGGAGGGACGGAAAAGGAGGGGACCAGAGGAAAAGCCTGAGAATTTCTGGGAGCCCTTTCACTTTCCCGCCTCAATACTGAGGGGGGCGGGGCCCGAGGCCGGGCCGGGGCGGGTTGCTTCCCTGGCCCCGCCCCAACCCTAGTTCTCCGTGCCCCTCCCACATGCGTTTCGCCATGATCCCAACAGGCCCAGCGGCTAGGAGGGTCACGTGAGGGTGGGCGGTGGAGGAGGAGGTTTTCCTCCGCTGGTTTTTCGTCTCTATGGTTGTCAGAGGTGGGCGGCTTTGATCCAAAGGCATTGGCAGCTCCAGTGTGGACAGGTGAGTCCTGGACGCTTAAAGGTGTGAGGGACAGCCATTTAGGGAAGGCGAAAGGGAAGGCAGGGCGAAACAGCTTTAAAGGATCTGGCCGCCCGTGTGTTGGCTTTGGGATCCGGCGACTTCTCGGGTCTGGCGGCATAGCTGTCTTCCCTGGCGCGCTCAGTTCAGGGGCTTGAGAGGAGTCCTTAGTCGTGTCTGCTTGCAGTCCTCCGCTTTCCTTCATCTCACCTCGTCCCTTTTCGCTGTCCCGGAGAGCTCTCCGTGCAGAGTTCCCAACGGCGAGGTTCACTTGGGCGCCGATGTCCCTCTCTTTTCCGGCAACCTGGAGATACACAGGTAGACTTGACTAGTTTCGCTGGGATTTGTTGATGTGGATGGACGTGGGTGATGGAGTTTACACTTAGATGCCTTATGGGTAGAAATATTAATTATTGAATCGGAAAAAGAAGTAGAAAGTCAGTGGGGACCCGAAGGAGCAAAATATAGTGCAGCCTTCTTGGACTGTTCAGTTTTTATCTTTTACGATGCTTTCCGTTTTCATTCTCGCTTAAGTTTCCTTTTTACCATCCCGTCCTGGCCCACCGTACGATGTTTTGAGAATGAGCCGAGTGTTACTGACTCTGTGTGAATGTTGAGAGAAGAGTTTAAAACGAACTGTTCTTTAAGTTGCTGTCTCTGCTATCTTATGGTTCCTTTTCCTTCCCTTTCAGAAGGGAAAAAGTGTTGTTAGCCTAAAAAGTGTTGTTAAGTATTTGTAAATGTAATGTAAGAAGAATTACCATTTTATGGCCAAGGGACTAGAATAAACTATTCCCCTTGTGGTACCTGGAAAGACTCACTTTCTTTGTTATTTTATAAGTGTTTTTATCTCCAAATTTTGGGGTGGTTTGGCTGTACCTTTGTTTATGTTAAAGTACCCCTTAGGTCCTGTGTGCAAGTAATCTAGCAGTAGAAGAAAGGAGTATGCTGACAAAGTGAACCAATTTGGGGTTGATAGATGCAGAATTAAAGTTTAAAGTTAAACCATATGACTAATAAAACGTCAGCATCTTGAGACACGATATCGCCCTGGATGACCAACACGCTGTCTTTCTGGTGTTGGACAAGGTAATGAGTTTGTTGAACATCATCTTGTCTTAAAAACTTTTTAGAACTTTTCACTTGTTCGTGAGAAGATGGTGTTGGCCTCCAGCTACTCTTTATAGTCACCCTTGATAGGTGATTATCTCTTCTACTTAAGATCATCACTCTGGCCATCTAATTATGTCTGGCCGTCTAATTATGTCATTGACACCCTCTAAGTGTCCTTACTGAAAATTGTGAAACACAGAGTAATACTAACAAAAAGTGAAGATTCAGGAGTTGGTTCTGTGCTTGGGGAGAAAGGGAAAGAGTGATAGAAGCTAATAAAAGCAAGAGAACAAAAGCACAAATCGCTACCTTCTTTATAATTTATAGACCATATTCAGTAGACTTTTTATATTCCCACGGATGCATCTTGAGACTGACTTTCCTGTATTTAAGAATGAACAATGGTATGTAACTTTTCCCATGATGCATTATTACATGAAATAATTATAACTGAAAGATTTAACTGACCCTTCAGGTCTTATATTATTTAGAATTATAGGACTAAAGTAATTGATAAGGTTTTTAAACCTAATTTGGACACTTTTAATCTATATTCATCTTTTTGCTTTAAAGTTTATTTATTTATTTTGAGAGAGAGAGAGAGAGAGAAGTGGGGAAGAGGCAGAGAGAGGGAGAGACAGAATCCCAAGCAGGCTCCACACTGTCAGCACAGGGCCAGACACGGGGGCTGAACCACAAGATCATGACCTGAGCCAAAATCAAGAGTGTGGTGCTCAGGGTGCCTGGGTGGCTCAGTAGGTTAAGCATCTGATTTCGGCTCAGGTCATGATCTCCCAGTTTATGGGTTCAAGCCCCAGAGCCTGCTTTGAATTCTGTGTCTCCCTCTCTCTCTGCCCCTCCCCCGCTCGTACTCTGTCTCTCTCTCTCTCTAAAATGAATAAACATTAAAAAAAAAAAAAACAGTGGGATGCTCAACTGACTCAGGCACCCTTATATATTCCTTTCAAAAAGAGAATCAGTTTTTTTTTTTAATTTTTTTTTTTCAACGTTTATTTTTATTTTTGGGACAGAGAGAGACAGAGCATGAACGGGGGAGGGGCAGAGAGAGAGGGAGACACAGAATGGGAAACAGGCTCCAGGCTCTGAGCCATCATCAGCCCAGAGCCTGACGCGGGCTCGAACTCACGGATCGCGAGATCGTGACCTGGCTGAAGTTGGACGCTTAACCGACTGAGCCACCCAGGCGCCCCGAATTTTTTAAAAAAGCTTTACTTGCACTTTTTATTTTTTCCCCACTCAAAACAAAAATAGCTTGGGTGTTTGCCAACTAAAAAAGTTGATTCTTTTAAAATAGATTTTCTCTACACTTTGTAAATTATGAGAAAATTGTTAATGCTTTTAAGACATTAAATGTTGTTATGTGAGCATATTTGAGAAGAAAACACAGGGCAGGATTTTTAAGTGTTTTATATTTCCTGTTATAAAAGTGTATGTGCCTGTTTTGGAAAAATGTAAATATGATGAAAATATAACATTGAAAGTTGGAGTCCTAATTTATCTTTTCCCCTGCCACCCTGTAACCACTAGTTAGTTCCCTTTGCATATTTGTGAATCAGTGTGCAAAAGTAGAGTCTCGAGTAAAACTCCCTGGGAGAGATGGTACTAATAGCTCCAGGCTTACATCCTACAACCTTAGAAACTCCAAAAGAGAGAGAACTTCCCTGTGTCTGTGATTCCAGCAAACTACTATATGAGAATTTCATTAACCTGACTTGGGTCATTGCCATCCTGGCAGTAGTCTCTATGGTCAGAGTGATAGAATGCTTTGTGTGGTCAAGATTGGATCTTGTTCTCACCATGGAGTGGGGTAGGGGGATACCGTTTTAAACTACATGAATTAGGAACAGGCAACGTCAGGGTGCCTGCCTGGCTCAGAGGTAGAGTATCCCCCTCTTGATCTTGGGGTTGGGAGTTCAAGCCTCACATTGGGTGTAGAGTTTACCTAAAAAAAAAAATAGACAACAGTTTTTTTTTAGGGAAATTTAGGTGTCATTTTTCTGGAGAGGGGAGAACGATTCCTGGACAGGCAAAAACAACAGATGTTCACTGAAATAATTATATAT